CTGGCTATAGAGGCGGAGAACAAATTCTTCAACTTGTTACAACATTCAATAGTTATCAACCTCAATTTTCTAAAAGAAGCTGCTTCTAGCGGACCATGACATATTTTCTCCATATTTTCCAAATTGCAAAGAACTAATACCTCCAATACAGGAAATGCAGGCTTCACTGAGATGATATGTTGAATCCCCAAAGCATCTTGGACAAAGAGATACTTCAATTCTTGGAAACCGTCGTTATCTAACTCATTGACTACATTTTTAACACCAATCAATCCTTCTAGATGTAGTTCATTTGTCTTCTTTAGCAACTTCCTAACTGAGTGGTGAGAACTAATTCTTGCGTCTGGCTTTAGCTTCAATAATTTTGAAACTCCCCGTGAACTACTCCAGTGGTTCCACCTGTCTCCCAAGAAAACTTTGAATCTTGCCAAATTTTCAGAGAACAAGCCTTCCGGAATCTTCTGAATATTGCAAATAACATGTAGCTCTATAGAAGTCAACAACGATAAAGGCTGCAACTCTGCTAGGCTAGCATTTTGATTTTCATGCTCCTCAATGCCCTCCGCCCATTGATCAAAGCTGTTTCTCATATATAGTTCTTCTAATCCTGACAAACTTGACAAGACACCTGGTGGAATTACTTTGAGTTCGGTACAATCACTCAAATCTAACAACTTCAGGTTGGTTAGTTGCCCTATTTGCCTTGGCAACTCTTTGATATCAGATCCTGCAAGGCTGAGGACTTTCAAATTCTCCAGCTCTCCCATCATTGTGCCTATATTTGTGGCTCCTAACTCAACTTGATCCAGACACAAAGTACAAAGGTTTTTTGGGCAGGAAATCAAGGAAGGGATTGACAAAAACTTCATTTTCGACAAACTCAAAACTTTGAGTCCTTCCTTATCCCTAAACAAGTTTGGTGGACTTGCTAGAGCAGGACCCTCTTTAGACAAATGAAAGAAAGTGAGTTTCGGACATTTCAACTCATCTGGAAGCAGACTGGTGTCCCCATTTGATAAATAAATCCATTTGATGCTCTCCATCGCCTCCATGTGTGATCGGTTGACTGATGCGTCTTCTGTTAAAGCCAACACACCATACTCCTTAGAAACAGTCGATGTGGCAAAATCTCGAACAAGATCGTGCATATCAAAGTACATACTGCTACCACTATCCAGCAACAAAGAAGAATCTCTGAGTTTCGTCACCAAATTTAGCACTTGAGCTCGTGCTTCCTCTATAGATTTGACTTCTGGGAATAGGCCCAAGCCTATGCCATATTTCAACAAGTTTTGAATGGTTGTATTCTGACCTAGTAGACTGCAAAGCAAGAAAATTTGTTGGAGTTCGTTGCTTTTCAAATCACTGTAATGCAACTTGATAGCTGAATACAGGCTTTGTGGTATCTGACTTGAATTCAGCTGATCAAAGGGCAGGCTTTGTAGCTTTCGTAAAGTAGTCTTCCACTCAATCAGATTCCTTCTTCTCAAGGCATTTGCGAGTGTTGCAACAGCAATGGGCAAGTCCTCACACTTCTTGGTAATCTCATCTGCATAAAACGGCAAACCACGACTTTTATCTGGATCATCAGCTATCTTCTTAAATAGGTTCCATGCCTCTCCCCTAGCTAAGCTGCCAATTTCAATTAGTGTTTGCGATAGATGAGATACCACATCTTTATCTCTAGAGGTCAGCAAAATTTTGTAAGATAAGTTGTATTTTTGCTTCCCATTCACTATTCCAAGCAGGTCCGAAGTTAATCCTAACTTCCATATATCGTCCAGAATCACAAGGACGTTCTTTTCTATCAGCCTTGCCTGGTTTGAATTAGAAGCTTCCAGAGATGTGAGTTCATTGGAAACAGGATCCGGACCCAAGCCAAATGTAATTTCATCTAGAATTCTTGGGACGTCTGGATTTCTACCCACAGTTGCTATAACAACCGCATCAAACAACCTCTCTTGCTCAGCTCTTCTTTTAACTTCTCTAACCATCATTGTCTTCCCCATACCAGGCTTCCCGTACACTCCTATCTTGTTGATGCAAGGACTTCGTAGTGCCTCCATGATGCCCGTCAAAACACCACTTCTCGATTCAAAGCCCTCAAAACGATCAGCAGCCACTTTCTCTTGTCGATGGGAAAGTGGGATATCGGAGAATCCACGAGCTTCTTGAACATGTGCAGCAATATCCTTGCATATCTTCTCCGCCTTCTTTCTAAGTTGGAAAAGAGACTTCCCACGTTTCCCAACATCTTCTACCAAATCGTGTGCTTTTTGAAGGAGCTCTAATGTTTTCTCCAACCATTTCTCGAGCGCTTCAGTTCTGCTATTGGGAAAATCTTCAGTATAGCGCTTCACACTCTCTTTCTCGTCCTCCAAGTCAGCAATTTGTTTCCTCAGCACCTTGATGACATTGGACTGGTCCTTGTGCACAAACATGTTGTGATTTGCGGTGAAATATTGATCAACAATTGGACAAATGAACAAAGAATGCTGCTGCTCTGTTCTTTCTAATACCCTCTGTTTTCTTTTCTTTTCTTTTTTTCTTTCTTTTTTTTTTTTTAAAGGTTTTGAGAAATGTATAGATGATAAAACAAAGTTACAGAGAATACAAGTGGATTGACGAGGAACAAAAGCCAAACAATCAATGGATAATGCAGTGCAGATTAGTTTGAGAGATTATGGAAGTAGGAAGTTAAGGAAGACTGAAGGGAATGACAAATTAATCAAAGAGAGCTGGATTTGGGAGTAGTGAAAGATGAGAGACAAAGGATTTGATTTCATGCGTACAAATGAAAGGGGTGAAATAACACAAATGAGCAGAAAAAGCAGACTTTGTGGAAACTGAAGGACAAGAGGCAGTGCTTTAATTAATTCTGGCTCCACCTTTTATGTTCGCTCGCCTGTGTCTGAAACTCTGAATAGTTCACCGGACGATTTTCTTTCATTTAATGACCGAACTTTTAAATCAGCCCCTCAACTTATCACATTATGGATAATTAGCCCCTTAACTTCTTTTCCTCAGGCTAATTCACTCCCCAACTAATTGATCTGGGTTAATTAGCCCTTATTTAATTGTTAATATAAGAGAACATTGGTTAGATGTTTCACTAGTGTAGTTAAAGCATCTCCAATGGGATACTCTATAACATATCACTAAAAGTTACATTATTACAATTTATATTATTTTATTTTATCGATATTTAAATAATATAATTTTTTAATTAAATGATTATTAATTTTTAAATCAATTTAAAAATTAAAATACTATTTGATTTAATGAAATTTTTCCTTAATATTTAGAGGAATTGTGTTAGAGAAACTATTTTATCAAAATGTGTTATATTTGGAGGAGAGTTAGTAGAATTCCATTTACTGCAATTGAATACAACATTATTTTTCATTGTATTTTTGTGTAAATGATGGGTGAGAAAATATTTTCGGAGTTGAGTTTCATATTTCTCAAACCATTTCAATAGTTTTCTGTCATTCATTTCATCACGTTTCTTGTGATTTCTTGTTCAATATCCATTTTTCAACAAAGATTTATATAGTTTGACACCTTAAAACATGAGTTAAAGGTATATTAATTACATTTTTTCATTAATTTATATAAATAAATATAAAAATTAATTTTATTTTCAACACTAATAATA